GTTGGTAAACATCGACCAGACTACACGACGCAACAACCCAGAAGACAGAAATCTTCATACTCACCGCTGTGAGAACCTCAAGTCTTACACTGTGTTACAACTCAGAAGACCAACATAATTTTCATCAACATGGGAACCTCATAACTCACAAAGTTTCAGTGCATTTCAGGATATTTTATTGATGGATTTCATGACTTCCCACAGACTTACATGCAAAAGTGGCAATGAGAATTCTTTAAACACTTTCCAATGAACGCGAACTTTGACACAAAGTGTTACAGGTATTTGTAGACTAAATAAAGAACAATGAAGAAATTTCAAACTGTAGATTTTGAGAACCACCTTAATATAAATGAGGGCAGGAGGAGCCAGTATGTCATATGGGGGCTAGAGCGTCCACTCCGTACACTTTCTGAAGTAAAACCCAGAATTTACAACAAACTTTTATTTCTGTTCCTTTTACCTTTAAAGAGGCTACATCTCATCAGCTTAGTATTCGAGATTATTCAATGTCAGCGATGAACGTGAATTTTAACAAGATGTGTGCACTTCGTTGAAGTATGTGTCTTGAGGCATGTGAGGTTACCTTCAGTTCAAGCAAGTGGTACCACACTAATAAAAAAAACTTGTAATGTTTTAGTTTCTTTAATGTATGAAGGAAGTTCTAGATAATTTTGAATCATTTCCTTCATTCTGGTGCAATATTTTTCTTCGAAGGCACAAAGTACTTAAGAAACAGCTATGAATTTTTTGTATAACTTCAGTTTACAGGCGACAGCCGTGTTGAGAGTTTGGTGTTAACCGACGTTTCAGCAAACATTCCAGTTGCCAGTTTCAAGGTGGATATGAGATAGGGTGCGTTCTGGAGGTTTTATATAGGGCAGGCGGTGAGTGGCAAGATAAGTTTCATGGTGCTGATTGGCGGAGTCAGCTGCTGACCAATGGGGGAGGAGCATGTCGTTGAAAGGAGGTGGTAGACTTCTGAGAGGTGACAAAGAAGGTTCTGGAGACCATGTTGGATGGGAAATAATTTGGTATGATATGGCCTAATGCCCTTTCCTTGTCTATTATAAGTAATGGTTTCATTATAAGGTATAACGCCTGTACACAAAAGTTTTACTGCACCACATTTCAATGTTACTTTATGCTTCTTAAGTCTAAGTATCTACACACTTTATATTACTTACATAACAGCATAAGCACACCAAGAAATGAGATGCATGAGTACAAGAATGGTAAATAGTATGTCCAAAGGTCTGAAACATTAAAGACATACATTTTAGTAAATGCAGAATGATATTAAAAGCAAAGTAAAATGTTTTCATCTAGAAGGTGTCGGATTACTTACTGAGCAATGTATGTATGTTAGATTGTTCCTTATCAATAAGTGCAGACATAACGTATGTCATTCCCAGCATCACAACTGCCAGCAGGCACAAAACTATGAACGTTTCATAAACTCTTGCCATCAAACCCTGGAAAGTAATGTAGGAAACCATTAGTCCTTACATTAGTCTCAAAATGTGACATGCTCTCAAGCCACAAAACAGATTTCTTTAAATATATTTATTTTGTACAGTCTATACACAAACGTTTGAAGTTTATTGGTGTTGTAAAAATTATATAATATTAAAACGTTTTATTGTGTAAAATATTATATTAGCGCTCTTAATCGTAAATATAATGTAAAAGAAAATATATAATGTAAAATCGTATTTACGATTAAGAGCACTAATATAATATTTTACACAATAAAACGTTTTAATATTATATAATTTTTACAACACCAATAAACTTCAAACATTTGTGTATAGACTGTACAAAACAAATATATTTAATCAAACACAAACATGACGCATATAAGACACAAAAAGATTTCTTTAACTTCTCCACAGTTTCACAAAATAATTTCGTGTTTAACAGCAATCACAAAACTGTAAAAGAAACTTATGTTTTTAGATTTTTCATATTATTTTTGACTGTAGCGAAACCAACGCAAAACAACCCTTTTAACAAGATTTTCCTTAGTGACACTTCATTCATATCCAATAAATTCCATACATAGAACTGGTTAAATTCCCACAACACGCAAAGGCAGAAAAACCACAAAACAGAGACCAAGCGTGAATAAAAATACCAAACAGAGTTCCTCTCTCCTCACATGCTGCAAATTAGGTGTTGGGAAACCATTTTTCAGAAATCAGGAAAGGCTTGCTAAAATTCGGTTCAGAGTTCCCATCTACTGCCTAAAAGTGCAAAGAATAAATACACAGAACTAAAATGTTACCTCTGGTTTTGCATGGGTGTGCAAATTTGACTCAAACATTAAGGAAAAAACATTAATATGGGGTGACTGAGAAGAGGGCTAGGGAGAATACTTGGAAGCTGCGAAGACTGCATGAGGAGTAGATTCGATTCTGTATGTACTCTTCACAAAATATCATTAAGGTGGCTGAATCAAGAGAGATAAGATTAAGGAGGAATAAAATGTGCACAAATGAGAGAGAAATTATGAGTGATGCATTCCAAATTTTAATGAAAACTACAAAGTAACCGAACACTTGGGAGACCAGGCACGAACCAGATTCAATTGGCTCGGGTATGGACCAGTGGCAGGCTCTGCTGATTACGGTAACAAACCTTCAGGTTGTATAAAGAGTAAGAAATTTCTTGACCAAATATAGATGAAAGGCTCTCGGGTTACAAGCCGCGTCAGGTGGCTGAACGGTGAACAAACCGTATCTTCTGCCAACATTTCAAGAACAATCTCTGTTCTCATCCTCAGGGCTGCTGGGTAACCAGTCTGTTCCTTTGTTTCTCACTGGCCAATGGGAACTGGAGGTTGAGGTCATGTGGTCGCACTAGCTGGCTCAGCCTTCTGTGTAGACAGCAGTTTTGTCACAGGATACCAGGTCCAGCTCAGAGTGAAACCATCATCTCCTTTGAAGTCGTCATTCGAGCGGATCTGAATGGCTTCTTTTATGAGCAGGTCCATAAATGCTGACGCGTTGTCCAACACAGAAGTCCTACGGAAGTCGATGTGGTGCCATGTATTCATGCTACGTTCCACTACTGCCACAACAAAGGAACGGACTGGTACTCGGCAGACCTGACGATGAGAACCGAGATTATTCTCGAAATGTTGGCAGAAGACATGGTTTATACACCATTCAGCCACATGACACAGCTTGTAGCCTGAGAGTCTTTCATCAACTTCAGTCACCGCAAAAGCTTCACTTTATGGACCAAATATTAGATTCACAAGAAGTACTTTACTCCATGCAATTAGTTATACAATTTACAATTTCTTCCTGATGCCAACCTTTAAAAACTCCTGGTAATTAAAGGGATGTGTAAATTTGAACACAGAATGTGAAATGAAGTATAAGATTCCACACAAGCACCCATATAGCCTTATTGCAATATGTTGAAAAAAAGTATACAATAATTATGTTATATGAAGAAAGAACAGACTCTTCATTTAAGAAATAAAGTAACATGCACAAAAGAAAATATTAAAATATTCTCCTGTTCCTCCTCACATCATTAAAACTGATAAACGGGACGTGTGTGCGCTGTCGCACGTCTGCACATGCATGTTTTTGTTTCTGTGATTGTTACAAGAAATGAAATTAATTAAAACATGTCGCCCAAAAGACCAAAATGACGTACCGTGTAATCTTTATCTTAGGTTTTCGTGGCTGTAGTTGAATGTGGAACTCTGGCTGTCAGGTGTGTGAACCACGCTGAATGTTAATCAATAACTAATGTTTTGGCAACTGTGATTGCCATCTTTAAGGTAAATGTGTAGTGGGATGAGTTCTGGAAGCCTTACGCTTGGCTTGCCAAACGCGGCGAGTTAGATTTGATGTTGCTGACAGGCGAAGCGGATGACCGAGCTGCCGCCCAATGGGAGAGGAGTACGTATATTTTTTTAAGAACACGTGATTCAAAATTTACCCTACTGTCATTTACCTTGAAGATGGCAACTGCAATGTACGCTGAAATGTTGGTTAATAATCAACATTGTAAGCGGCGCGCAACCAAAAGCAAAAGTTACACACGTACCGTGTATGTTGTTAACGTGCGTATCTCACCTTGCGATAGCCTGTGAAACCTTCAGATTCTGTGAACAGGTATGCAAATGGCAGCAGGATGAAAAGAGAGAGGTTGGAGAACAGAAACACATGATTCCATAGGCCTAGAAACAAGACATAATGACTTATATTACGCAACAGTCCTCATTAATTGAAATACAAAATATTACAGCGATTTCCATACGTAATTTATTATTTTTCATAATGCACAGAGTTTGCAATAACACGCCACACCTTATAAAAAATAAAAAAAAATAAAAATTAAACTCTGTTTCCACTGAAATACATAAACGGGTAAAAGGCAAAGCACCATGACATGAAAACTTATTTATAGTCAATAAACTAATTTGTCCATATAATATCTCTGCATTGCTCGGAGACACTTCAACTGCAAAGTATAACAACACAGACAAGGTAAGATAGTGTAATTGTGTCATATTGTGAATATTCTAACAATTATTTATTTTAATCCGTCTTATCACAATATTTAAAACTTCTTATAATTAAGATAATAAAATATCATTGATGTTCCATATCGATTGATCGATTTACATTTTGGAACATCTTTTACACAACATGTTTCAGTTTTTATAAAACCATCATCAGGTGTAAAATATTTACGAACTTAAAACTCAAATATGATTCCATTTGGTGATGTTTCATGCCATTTGTTGAATAGTTGTTTTGGACCTTCCTATCTTAAGCTAAGTTGCAACGCACTGTTAAACTGAATAAATTTAAGCAGTACAATGCAAGTACGATCACAAACATCGTACGATATATCGAATTTAAAATTCTATTCAGGAAGTTTCGTAAATGGTAAAAGAAAGCATGGATGGATCAAGGTAAATACACATCACTTATTTATCACACAGGAATAAGCTGCTGGCTGGACTTTAACTACGGAGTTTACAGTTTGGCGAGATTTTACTGCAACACACAGCTAGCTGGATCGCATATAAGTGGCAACCTAGAGTCAAGAAAGGTGGTACGTATCTTTACGGTGGATGCACCAATCCCGCCGCTTTCAAACCTTATCTGTACTACTGGAATCATGACCATAGTAAGAATCAAGAGACATGTATCTTAGCAGCCATTATTTTGAATGCAGTGTAAACAAAGCTGAGTAGAAAGACCGCAATCTGCCTTTGCATTTAGTACCATCAGGACATGCACTCACCCTTATTACAATCATACTCCTGTCTATACTGACAACTCAGAATCCAATGCAGACCAAATGTGAGGTCACTTTTACGCGTATTTACCGACACTGACATACCAATGTCAAGTTGAACGAGGTTTCTGAAAAAGGTAGAGAATTTCCTGACTAGCTGTCAGTTTTTCGAGGACTCTGCTCAGTCGACTTTCTTACATTTGCGCTACAGCATTTGAGACAGAATCTACAAACCTGTCTACACTAAAATTAAATGCTGGGGTACCTGTACCGATATAATGACACTCAGCCAACCACATTAAAACTACAACAGGGCGATCCAAAGCAAACTAAGAAAATGTACAATTTCCAACATAGTTTTGTACAATAAATCAACCACTGAAGATTTCTGTCTTCTGGGTTGTTGCGCTGTGCAGTCTGGTCGATGTTAACCAACGTTTCAGAGGTCATACTGCCTCCGTCATCAGAGTATGAAGATTTCTGTCTTCTGGGTTGTTGCGTTGTGTAGTCTGGTCGATGTTAACCAACGTTTCAGAGGTCATCGACCAGACTACACAGCGCAACAACCCAGAAGACAGAAATCTTCATATTCACCGCTGTGAAAACCTCAAATCTTACAAATCAACCACTGTCACGGAACCTTTAGAGAATCATCATGTTCTGTCATCGCTTAACAGTAAATTTTCAGAAGTAAACTTGGATTTATGTTACATTAAGCTACAGAACTGGCTAGCGAGTCTCTGTGACCAGTGTTTTGTAATCTCCTGCTTGCATATTAACTGCACCTTGTATGAGTGAACTGTTGAGCCATTTGACATAGTAGCTGTCAGGGTAGTACAGAAGAATCTCATTGCTCAATATGGAGATGGGGAGAAGCAAAGCAGCTCCAACAGACACAGCCAAGGAGAACGTACAAAGCCACAGGCTGGAACAAATAATTCAGTTAGAAAGCCTGAAAACTTTATACAATGGTCCCAGTTATTGGACCGACTGCCTTCTGGGTTCTTGTTCCATGTGGTCTGGCAGAGGTCCCTGTTACCTCTATCATCAGATCACAATGATGATGGAAGCAGCAAGCACCTATCAAATGTCAGTAAATGTTTACCAGGCTACACAGTGTAATTTGCTACTATGAGAACCTTCAATCTCACCTCATTTACTGGTAATTTATAGGGCAGTCAGTCTTATTTTTTAATCTCAAATTCATACCAAGTACGTAACTTCAGGTTTTCTTAAAAAACAAATTTCAGGCCTTTCGAACTTTAAGGGAAAACTGAAAATATAAACTAGGCACACGCATATAACATGTTAACATATTAAAACATAAATGCTGTAAATTGCATGAAGCATATACACAATATAATGCAAAATAAACCATTATTCATTCTTCCATGCACAACTGTCACATTACAAAAATTACTCTGCAAATAAAAATTAAATTTGCTGCAGAAAATATGCCATAAAATTTGAACAAAAATTCATATGAATCAAGCGTAATCCATACTTTCAGGACAGCCACCAAACAACACATAAAAAACATTAGTAAACTGCAGATATCATTAGCACCTACATCCTGACCTTCATTTACGATCTTTATCAATACTGACATATTTACGAAGACAAAGACAAACAGGGAGAGAGATACAGAGGCACAGACAGACGTGTGGGTGGTATGTAGGTAGGTAAGTCTGTGGACAGCCATTTAAATACATACACAGAAGTGATGGCAGCGTACAGCTGGCATAATAATTACCGTCATTCGCGATCACCTTATATCTGTGCATACGTGGCCCTTCTCTACCTTCCATTACTTACGATTAAGCCTACTTATGCTGTATGTCTATTAAGCAAAAACACCAATATGTCTCCCTAATTTGAAGAAGAATTTGAATTAATAATGCTAATGACTTTACCCAGCCTCTCAGTAGGACCGACAGCAAAATCAAGGTAAACACTATACTTCGAGTAGTCCTCTACACCCCACGGTAGCCTAAGCAGATGTCTTGAAGGGAAACAGTTTATTTTTAACATTGCATGAACTGAGTAAAGGCCAAGGCGAATGAGACCCTTCGTTGACCGTCAGGGACACCAGTTCCTGAAAACAACCCATTCATGGGTTAATATACTGAATCACATTTTGTATAATGAGCCGGGATAGCTCAGTCAGTATAGTGACTAGCTACGGGCTGGACGACCGGGGTTCGATCCCCGACGGGGGCAGGGGATTTCTCC